ATACTAATAAAAGTTCTTGCGGAAACGAGTCTCTTCATGGATATATATCAGGTTTAAAAAAATATATCACAGTGCAGAACCGCTTCTTTTATACAGCTGCACGATTCAATTTGGAAACTAAACACATTACAGACATACATATCACCTTTTTTTAGTAAAATGATAAATTCAGCAACATCCTTATCAATTGATCGTATAGGTGCCAGATTCATGAAGAGCACATCGCTACCGTATTGTCGTAATCTTGTTAGGAACGCGATCTCACTGAACAATCGCCTTATCAATTGAGAACAGGTTTAGATAATAACTATTAAATTTGTTAACATGATATTTTTTCTAATAGAAGTTATTCAATATACGATATTGCTCATGGGTATTGATCAGATTTGAAAAAATGCATCGCCAGGCATAGCTGCTTCTTCTATACATCTGGACTATTCATTTCGATTGCTAAACATAGTGTAGCAGTTCTTCTGGTCTTTATCCAGTAGATTCATATATTTAGCACCATCATTATCGTTGAACGTACCAGTATCATATTCATTAAATGGGCAATGCTAATGTGTCGTCGTAATCTTGTTATGAACGCGACCCCTCTGAACAAACATCTAGCTATCTAATAAGGGAGAGTAGGTTTGAAGCAACTATTTATTTTGTTAACATGAAACTGCTCCTAATACGAGTTATTGGATATACGATATTGCTCATAGGCAATGATCAGATTTGAACAAAAGTATCGCAATGCAGAAATGCATCCTCTATTCATCTGCCCTAGTCATTTCAATTGCTAAACATAGTATAGCAGTTCTTTTCTTCTTTTTCCAATAGAATAATATATTTAACATCATCATTCTCCGTTGAACGTACCGGTATAATACTCATGAAATGCGGAATGTTAACATGTTGTCGTAATCTTGTTATGAACGTGATCCTTCTAAACAACCATCTAGCTATCTAACAAGGGAGAATAGGTTTGAAGAAACTATTTATTTTGTTAACATGAAACTGCTTCTAATACGACTTATTGGATATACGATATTGCTCATAGGCATTGATCAGATTTGAAAAAATGTATCGCAATGCAGAAATGCATCCTCTATACAGCTGCACTAGTCATTTCAATTGCTAAACATAGTATACTAGGTTTGAAAAAACTATTCATCTGCACTAGTCATTTCAATTGCTAAACATAGTATAGCAGTTCTTTTCTTCTTTTTCCAATAGAATAATATATTTATCATCATCCTCATCAAATAATCGTACCGGTATTATATTCATTAAATGCGCAACGCTAACGTGTCGTCGAAATTATGCAGAGAACACAATATCACTGAACAACCATCTAGCTATCTATCAAGAGAGTATAGGTTTGAATAAACTATTTATTTTGTTATCATGATGCTGGTCTAATACCTGTTATTAAATATACGATATTGCTCATGGGCATTGATCAGATTTGAAAAAATGCATAGCCATGCAGAAATGCATCCTCTATACAGCTGCACTAGTCATTTCAATTGCTAAAGATAGTATAGCAGTTCTTCCGATCTTTATCCAGTAGTATAATATATTTAGCACCATCATTATTCGTTGAACGTACCGGTATCTTATTCATTAAATGCGCAATGCTCACGTGTTGTCATAATCTTGCAAAGAACGCAATACCACTCGACAATAATCTTGCTATCTATCAAGGGAGAATAGGTTAGAAAAAACTACTTATTTTGTTAACATGATACTCGTTCTAATATGAGTTATTCAATATACGATATTCCTCATGGGTATTGATCAGATTTGAAAAAATTCATCTCCAAACAGAAATGCATCCTCTATGCAGCTGAACTAGTCATTTCATTTGCTAAACATAGTATAGCAGTGCTCCTGTTCTTTTTCCAGTAGAATAATATATTTAGCATCATCCTTATCCGTTGATCGTACCGGTGTCATATTCATGAAATGCAAAATGCTACCCTGTCGTCGTAATATTATAGAGAACGCAATATCACTGAACGATAATGCAGCTGCATTAGTCGTTTTGATTGTACAACGTATTATTGAATTTCTCCGGTCCTTCTTTTACTATTATAATATAGTACATTTAGCAAAAGCCCTATCAGTTGATCGAATAGACAGTACATTTATGAAGTCCGCAGTGCTGTCGTGGTGTTGCGATCTTGTTATGAACACAAGGATTTTCTCTTAGTCACATTATTCACTAGTTGCAGGAGTTCCATGATCGAGATAGTATCGTCACCCGTTCTAAGTTTATATTTTTCTGCGATTGATTGATGCCACGTGCGTGAGCTTTCCGACATAACGAACCACAGTATAAATTATACATAGTATACATAAAGAACACAATTATTATATGTTTAGCAAAGATTAGTATAGGACCTCGGCAGCGTTCGTGGTGGAATGGTCAAAACTTCAGGCTTGCTAATATAGGGCCGTGAGTCCGAGTCCCTTTCCTATCATTTTAAAATTTAGATTCAAGGATTTATTCACACGTTACGATTACTTCGGATTTACATTCAGTGAAATGTGTTTTCATAATGGTTACTTTACTGCGCATTTTTAAAGCCGAAATGGTTAGCTGTTATTGAGATGTTCGGAATTTGTCGAGTGCCGTCTAATATGCTCGTGCCAACGACAGTAAGTGCAGTCTATTAAGAATGAGCGGCCTAGCGTTGTCACTCAAAAAATTACTCTCAGGAACCCAACCCTAGATACGCTTTTATTCAGTTTGGTCAATTCGAACCCGACAGAGCCCTGACTCTCCGAGGTAATATCAGAATGTCTGGGGTCCCTGTGAGCCATTTTCTGAGCGGCAACGCTAGTGCGGCATCCAGTATGCGAGCAATCTCGTAATCACGCATACTACTGTGTAACTATCACTAATGCACCATGCATCTCCAGTGCGCGTTCTAATATGTTCATATAAATTCTATAAACCAATTAATATTATTAGTCTCATTCATATAAGTCAAGTCTTTTAGTAATTCAAACGCGTTCGGACAACGCAATTTCGATATTGTGAAGGTTTTGAACTGAAATAGTTTGTATAATCAGACATTAAAGTGCCTTGTCATGTTGAGCAAGAGGTTCCGGAAATTAATATTGTGAAGTGTGTACCTTAAACAGTATGAATAACAAAATGTAAATTATGTTGTACTTAGAGCAAATGAATTTTATTTATTACTGTAACATTTTCCTTGGCTAAAACATTTATGTCTTTATATGCTCTCGTGAACTTTTTTCATTTTATACTATTATATAGTAATTGTAGATGCAGTTCACTGATAATCACCATGGTAAAGATCGTTCAAACATAGGATCAATTTACGTGAAGGAAGGAAATCGTTCATTGGTAATAATCAGAGTAAAAATCTCCACCGATGTTTATTTTGTTATAAAGATTTCGCAACAATAAGTTACGTTTCGTTACGTTATTCAAACTATATCGCTAAATTGTTCTCATCAAATACACTATTGTCGACTGTAAAGGATTGATGCCTGGCTATGAATATTGGTTTTAGGCTATTAACTTGAGCCAAAAAAATTTTCATCATTTGATATGAATATAGAAAAGTTGTAAATAAAAATTTGTAAAAGTTGTTGAAGATATGAAACATTTATGATAAACTTTTCTCGAAATAATGCTTGGAATTTAATTTAAACATGAAAACCAACCTTTTACTGTAACGAGACGAACACATCTCTCGTTGAGCTGTCCACCAAGCATCGCAACGGTAGTTTAACTAACGAAGTGGAGAAGGGGTGAAAATATGTTTCTAATAAGATCACCGCGCCAAGTTGCAGAAAGAATCGCGACATATTAGATCTAGTTTCCGCACAAGTTTACTGTTGCATTGGAACGGTTATTGCTTCTCGTGACTATTCCCTTTCAAATAATTAATCGTACAAAAGCCGCGAGCATTTGCATTTGGAAAAATCTTGTTACAAGTTTGAGTAAGTATCTCGCATATTTCGAAGCATGGCACATTTTGCGATGTTAAAGATGTATAGCCTTCCCTCAAAGACCATAAATAATCTCTAAGGGCCATCTTTTTCCTTTTCTATACATGAACTGACAAACATTAAGCACGATAATTGGAATAATGAGGTTTTAATAAAGTTCGCTATGAAAATGTGTGCAATTGGTAATTCTTCATATTTATTACGAAAAATATATATCAATATATAAGTCTAGCATCACAGTGGACTAGTTCTTGATTTGGTAATACAATTTTGCAATTGCCATACAGTAGTTATTTTTAAATCACAGTATAACAAAGTGATTTATAAATAATTAAATCAATGAATATACTTAATGGTTATTGTGAAAAATACATATAAATGTACAGATACGCAAAGTACGCCAATTAAAACTTAGCTATCGATCTTGTCTCTGAACTATTCTTGAAACATAGAATATGTAATTGAATTCTAATTCTAGGTACATATTTTTAAGCGATTCATTTTTCATAACTGAGTATAAAATAATATAGAACACAATCTCATCTATCTTTGGGAATAACTTTTTTTTTTGATTATATATTACAATCAGTTAACATCTCATATATAGTAGTAGACTCCTCCTGCCTTGTGAATGATAAGACAGGCATCTACCACCTACGGGCGACATCTTAAGTGTCATAAAAAATACTTTTTTCGTTAAAACTAAATATGGCTTTTTTAATAATACGAACTCTTAAAAACTATAATATCGATTAATATTTAATATTGCAATCGATAATCCTCTAAATAGCTACTAATATTATTCCATAATAATTAAAAATTATAAAACTCGAACAGGAACATAATGCAATGATCTCATTTCAACTTTTAAGTTAAAAAGTTTAGGTTTAGGTTAAAAAGATACAAGATTATTTAGCTGAACGAGTTTTTGTTTTCAAAATATACTGAAACGTAGACACTATGGATCCTCTACTTTTTTTGGCAAAATTAGGATATTCTTCCATTACTTTTAATATCTTTTTTTATGTAGGATACCTGCCATCTTTCAATTCCTGACTGAAACCAATTTCAAAATCGGCTTTATCTTCGTCACTCCATGATCTTCGGCTCACCGATTTAGCTGTAATAAGATAAAAATAATTGAGGTAATGCATAACTCATGTTAGGATTATAAATTAAAATGATAAATTCCTATATAATTTCCACTAATAGTAAGGATTATTTACATTAAATGAAACATTCATTGAAGAGACCGATATATAACAAGCTTGTTAAATAGTAACAATTATTCATGAAGAATCAATAAGAATATGAACGACTAATGTGTATGTTTGTGCTTTAAGAAAATCAACTGTATCATTGCTCCGATTCGACATTATGTAACATTTAAAAATTAAGATTACGTATCGCACAACAATTTTCATTGCTAGTTTTTCTTTATTTTCTCAGCGGTGATCCGATAATCGAGTACGAACTTTATGATGTGAGTTATTAAAAAATCACGCGAAAACTAAGGGAGCCAGCCATTTCTTTTTTGCATCAAGACTTCGCTTCACTTAAGCATCAAACTACACGCAAACATTTAGTAATCCACTTTATTCTTGTGATGCATAATATAATTTATTCTAAATAATAGTTGTTGTATAGAAACACCATATATAAGCTCAACCCGCATTTAAAGATAAATATGTAATATTTAAAGATAGAGAAATGTAAATTAATACGAAATCTACAGAATAATATAGTAAACAATTTTGTTCGCTTCAACAAACCGTTGGAAATATTTAAACATTCAAATCTTCATCACAATTTATATCTTCTTCAATGTAAATATTTGTTACTGTTAACAAGCATATTAAACAGTAAATATTATGATCCTTTCTATTAGTGTACAAGAGAAATAATTAGTTATGTATGGTTTTCATTGCGTTGGATAGTTACGTATCCAAGAGAGTGTGATTGTCGAGTCTGTACACAGATGACATCGAGAAACAAAGTAGTTTGCACTTTATGGATAAGTGAGGATAGTAAAAGTGCTCTTCTGAATTCTAAGCGAGGTAAATTTCGTTGCTTCATAGGTGAAGCTTTGGTTTCAGAAGCCAACAACGAACAAGTTGAATATCCTTCGTCATGAACAAGCCGGAGGTAGATAACTGCTACGTAATCACGATCAGATGCATCACAAAAGTCCTGGAGTTCTAAGAACCTCTGCGTTGAAAGAACACCAGCGAGGAAGTTCAACAGAAGACAGACCATACAATTTGTTGTATCAGCACGCCTAACAAATTTTGAGTTCGATTAGCAGTGGCTGATCTCATGTCAATCCTCCACGCCACAAGTTTTCTAATAGTATATTATGATACGTGTGCCAATTATTGCACGGCGTAGAATTAGCGCCTGAGCGTCAACGAGGGCGATAAATACGCCGTAGATACATGGGATATCTAGTTCACAAGTGTCGTATGGTGTTTTATAGCACTGCCGATCTTAAATCAGCACTTACGGGCCGTTTATTCGTGACCTAAGTTAGATTATTGTTGTACCATGTGGTTAGAGCCCGAGCGCCGGCGATGGCTATAATCACGGTGAAAAAATGAACTGCTTAGGTCAAGAATAAGCGTGGCATAAGTGCTGATTTAAGCCACGCAGTGCTATAAAAATATTTTGAAATTCACAGTGACGTATGCGATTCAACTTAAGGGATTTTAAAGACGATCAACGAAGAATAGAACCATTCTTCTAATAACGCTTCCTTCTTAAATCTTTACCAACAATCTAAACAAGAAAGAATCCATCATTGTAGGATTCCCCCAAGAATTTGCAAAGATTCCGATTGGAACCACGTCGAGGAAGAGAGAGGCAAATAGAGAAAGAGAGAGAGAGAGAGAGAGAGAGAATGAGAGAGAGAGAGAGATATATATGGAACTATTTTCTCCAGGTTTGGACCTTTGAACGTTGAAATGAGATCAGCATGACTGATGGTCCATTTGCTTAATGGGAAACGTTCCGCCAAAGACAACGAAATCAACTCTTGTTGTAATTTTCCTAACTTTTTCATAAGAGCCCGCTCCTCCCAGAATATCATCAATGTAAGTATTGCTTATTAAAAGAGAAGCAGCAAAGCACCTGATACGTCTTTATCTTTTGCGAGTTAGCGGAGGACTCGTACGGCTTGATACGGAGAACAGGAAAACCCATACGTGGCAATAGAAAGACCAATAGAACGTGTCTTAATGGATTTTCTATGATCTGAATAACAACCAAAAATTAAGGTCCATAACTGTTACAATCAAATATTATGATCAATAGAATTGATTGTTCGGTGTTCATAGTTTGTTGCATATGAATATAAATCACCTGATCATTGCCTCGGGCACCATTGCACTGCGTAATGAAAGAAAGCGAGTGAGACAGAGAAACAATAAGAAAGAGAAAGCCCGCTCAGATAGTCAAAGTCATGGGGGCGAGGGTGGAACTAAGTAGATATAAGGCGGCTATGAGGAATTTGGTCGGAATTTGAGCAACCGCAGAAGATTCTGGCAGATTTATGACCCTGAACATGACCCAGAAGGAGCTGGTCAAGCAGCTATTTCGACATGTACTTGGCCTAAAAGCCAAGTACTTTACCGTAAGGCCGGTGACCCGTCAAGAACGGATCTCAAAACCCATCGGTACAATCGCTCGAGACGCGGACAGGAGGCGCTATTGCGGTAAGTCGGGAGGGCGCGAATCTCCGTGAGGATTGTCAAAATAGTGAACGCAGGCAAAGTAAAAGGCCAAGACGATGTGGTGAGCGCAAACGAATATTTCTTTCACCGATGAAGATACGGTTCTGAGGTTATATAGCCTTACGAGCAGTAAAGATAGCAGCGAAAGTCGAGTCAGGTGACGTGACCGTCATCATCGAGATGATAAGAGTTCCAGCGATTCATCAGTGGCATTATTTGACGACAGAAAAACAATAGCCATCCGCATATTCGAAAGAGTGAAATGCGCCTAAAGAACCTGGAAAGATTATTCTCCCCGCTCCCATTCCAACCATTGTCATTATCTGTAAGTAACGACAATATTATTCTTTCGGAATCAAGCAAGTATCGCCTACTCAGTTCGAATCTTGAGACTAAGACGATCTGTGGCTAGGAAGTTTTATGTCAGTCTGAACTATTGACGAGTTAACAGATGAAGGAATCATGGAAAATGATATACGTTATACTCATATTTTACATATTTTGATGAACTATAGCCGATGCTGACATTCATTTGACCTCATCACTGCAGCTTCAAGGTCACTTGAAGGTCATTGCCCTTATTAACGTGGAAAGGCTCGTTTTAATCACGGATTAAATGAATCGGATAAAATACACAAAGATCTCGATCGTTTCCAACTGAATCTATACAATATATACGGTATTCATCTTAGTGCTTTGTTTGAACTTTTCAGGTCGCATTTTGTGGCCCTGTATATTTTGCGCAGCTTATCAACATATTTTTTCAAAACATATACATAGAATAAATAAAGATAATTTATAAAAGAAAGTTTCATACCTTTTGTTTGCTGTTTATTTTCTGAAAAGCCAAATTGACTTGATTCTACAGAGTTAGTGTCTATCTCCTCATCTTGATCAACCTGTATTTCTGTTCTCTTTAAAATGATATCTTCTAAGATATGTGTAACCGCTACAGATTTCTGGGGAAGGACTCCTCTGTAATATTTATTGTGAGTTTGCTCAGTGTGAAATAAATGTCTAATAAGCAGCTTTGAGTGTTGTCCATTGGTTTGCCTTTTGTATTGGGTAGCAATGAATTTTCTAAATCCAGTAGCCGTAACGTTTGAAATTTGCTCAAATGTCTTATAAGTTCTATGACACAAATTAACTAACTTCTTCATTACTTCGTGCCCATTCAAATGCTCATTTTCCTTCATGTTTGGAGTTACATATAAGTACTGGTTCTTGGGACACACGCCGAATTTAGTTCTGTTTTTTACGATCAAATCTATTATTTTTTTGTCCTTTGTGTCTAGATATACGCGACCATCGAGCCCTTCAGTTTTTTTACCAGTAAGGTTCATCACAGAAAATTTTAAAGCTTGTTTTTTGTTCTCATTCGAAAGACCTTTGAAGTGTAGACTAGTTTGATCGGTGATGGTTCTATTCTTATAATCATTTAATGAAGTGCGGCTATTTTCTCCCGGTCTTCGCCCGTTCAAACACTGCACATATATCATTTCCACTGATGTTAATTGAGTGAAAATTTGATCATTGAATTTTTGACGTGCTTTATCAAAAAGAATATCTCGTCTGCGAGATAAAAATTCTACTATAAGATTCTTATCATTAGGCGTAATTTCTTCAACAGTTTTTCCCTCGTGATTTTTTCTTCTATTGTTTTGACTAGACACAATTTTGCTCCCAATCATGGGAAGCCAATGGGTTTCAAATTCTACTAAAAAAGAAAGTACACGGCGATAACCAATTTTATTTTTTGTTTGGTTGTATTGAGATTTTAATACATTTATTATATTTTTTAGGAGCAGTCCTATAAGTTGAGCTGTAGAAGGGGATTCAAAATATCTTTTTTTTTTTATCAAATCCTGCAATAATTCTAATGGCTGCAACTGTATCATTCCAGTTAGATGAATCTATACAAGATGCCATATCACTAATTGATGGGTTGAGTCTTTTCATTATAGTTAAAAATGTTCCTAGATTTCGGCCATGAGTTGCTATTAGACTATTTTGATCACGGACATCATAGCGCTCGCAAATAAGGTTGAGATACGAGATGATAGTATCATCATATTTCCAAGTCCAAAAGATTTCAGTTTCACATATTTTAGACATAATTTCTCTGAGTCTCGGGCAAGCATTAGGATGATGGTGGTTAGATTCTTGCCTACAGCTATTAAGAATCCCTGTACAATTGGATGACTTATTTTGAGGATACAGTTCAGGATGGTGAACATGACAATGTACTGAAATATTCCGACGTGACACATAGGCCTTGCAATGTTGGCATTTCACTCTCAGCAGGTGATTTAGTTCCCTTTTTTCAACAGACGTAGTACATTTTTCATTATAACTAGTCATTTCTTCTTCTAGTTTTTTGTCTAAATCGAATTCTATAATACTTTCATTTTCAACTACATTATTGTCTATATTTTCTTTAACGGAGTCTTCAGTGTTTGTAGCTCTTCTATTTAGTGCAAGACGCCTGGTTACTAAAAGTTTTCCCGACGGATTTAATTTAGGATCTGCATTAAATATGGCATTGCCATTTAGTCTTAATGTTTTAAATATATCTCTTCTCTCTTTACACCCTACTGGCAATTTAAATAGTTTGTCTACTGTTTTATATTCTTTTATGTGCACCTTTAAATGTCTATCAAGTCGACGAAAAACTTTTTTACAATAAGGACAGCAACCTTCTTTGGCATAATACTTTCCGCCTTCAGAAGATTCGGGTACATATAATTTTTTTAAAAATTCTACTTCTATATTTTCTTCTTCTATATCCTGCTCATAAGAATGATTTATTTTTCTCTTTTTTTTTGCTCTATTATCATGATCTTGGCTCAAAGGTAACTCTTCCTCGCTCATACTGGATACTTCATCAGAATCACTTTCAGCATTTAAACTGGGTTCATATTCATTATCTGAATCTTCTTCAGTCTCACTATCCGAAAAATCACGCACACGTTTCTTGTACGTAATTTTACTCATAGATCGTACTCTTTTTTTGTGCTTAACAGAACTCTTTTCAGATTTATCCATATCTAAATTCATTTGAATGGCTTGATTTTTACTATTGAAACATTCAACTTTTTTGTTTGCAGATCTTTATGACTCTTAGAGGAGTCATTATAAGAATTGGTTATGTCCAAATGATCTGAATCATATTCAAAACTCAACTTACTCTGATCATTTTCCTTAACTGGCGATTCAAGTACCAAGCTAGAAGCAGATAAATCATTGACTATAGAGTTTCTCCTTGAATAAACTAATAATGGTGAAAATCTAGACTCATTTAAACTCTTAAAAGTTCCTCTTAGAATCTCAGGAGAGCTTATTATGGGCTCTGGACTCAAATTATTTTTTGAAGAAGAATCATTGTTCATTAATGACTGATCAAAAAGTATAGCACTACTTTCCTTCTGATTTGTGGTTGACAACCCAAACTCATCAAAATATTGATGAGAAACATTTGATACAGCAGAAGAATTCAATTCAAAATCTAGATTCGAATGATTTTCTAAAGACGGAGAGTCGGCCGTTCTCTGATCGGAAGGTGTCGAGACATCTTGATTTTCATACAAAAATAATGAATTAGATTTAGCATATTTATCAACACTTTTTGAAAGTTCTAAAGTCACTGGATCAAGGTCTATTTCAAGATCAGAATCTTCTACCGGCGATTGATTTGTTTCGTTTGGATCAGACAGCTTTTCTGAGATCAATGGCTTTTCTTCGACATTTGTATCAATATCTTCTGAGATTTTGTGTGAATTGGTTTCGTTACCTACGTTTATCCAGTCATCATCTGGTAACGACATAGGGTCGAATTCTTCAAAATCCCTATCATTATCACCATCGATTAGTTGCAAATTATTTTCGATACCTAAATTTGTAGAGTTATCATCTGGTAACGACATAGGGTCGAATTCTTCAAAACTTGTATCCATTTTAGATTTATTCGTATTGATATTATAAGTAACTAAATGCTGTTGAGGATCTATATATGTGACTAGGTTAATACATTAAATCAAGAAGATTAGTGTTCTAATTATATGTATCATCTGAAAAAAACAATACATTTTTCATATATATATGACCGATATTTACAAAAAAATTCCAAAACTGTTGCTTGTTAAAATTTCTTATTCAACCTTAATTGTTATTCAATAATCGCATTGTGCTGAAAATTACGTCGTCATATATAAGAGTGTAACGAAATATTTGTCAAGGGGAAGTACGAAGAGGTTCTGTCGGACCTTCTGTAAAGGGCCGTAAGAACAGTGCAAGTATGGTGTGAATCGAACTCTCCGGCGGTCAACCCCAAAAAGACAGAGATAGTAGTTTTCACTGGGAAATATAAAAGTAGATAACTAAAGAAGTTACCTTCTATGGCCAAAAGGTACCATATGCAGATGGAGCGAAATACCTAAAAGTATACTTAGACAATAAACTAGGTTGGAAACAACACCTACAACAATAAAGTAGGAAGGTGTTAAACATATTTATGCAGTGTAGATCGGCAATTGGGGTAGGATGGGGGGCTCGAATCTCAAAAGGCACTATGGATCTATAGTCCTATACTGGTACCGAAGCTGGTCTACGTGGCAATAGTATAGTCGAAAGTCACCGAAAATGTAACTGCAATGAGGGTGTTGGACCATATATAGGCCGTTACCTTGAGAGGGACATTCAGATTGAAGTGCAGCACACCCACGGCCGCCGTTAGAATGATGCTGGACGAGGCAGCACTGATACTTGTTCTTAAGGGATGTGCCGCCAAAACAGTGTACAGCTTGATATGCAGAATAATAAAAACTACCTCATTCGGGGGACAGTTCATAACGGACATACCGCAGAGAGAAAGTTGAAAACAAAATAAAGTCCCGGGACATGGTGACATATGGTTCACAGATGGGCCCAAGTTTGACAAAGGTACAGGCTTCAGTATATACAGACAAAGGCAGGGAGAAGATTCAACCTTTAGTCTGAAGGAATACAAAACCGTCTTTCAAGCGGAAATAGCTGCTATAAAGACGCGTGCTATGGATGTGGTACAAAACAGAACGGAAGGCAGAGTCATAAGAGTCTGTACCGATAGTCAAGCGCCACTGAAGGCGCTTGAAAGCCTGGTCACGATGTCAGCAATAGTTACTAAGATTTAAGAAATGCTAGATGAGTTGGCCATAAGAAACTTCGTTACCATTTCATGGGTGCCTGGGCACTCAGGGTATAACGGTCATTTTTGAATGTTGCTAATTGCCCACTAATAGAACAATAAGGGGTAATGCAAATATAAATTAATTTGATTGGGAGAAATACGGATAGAGAGGAATGTGTGGTCCGCAAATGTAAGAACACAGAGTAATATGAAAAAGAAGAACTTATCATTTATACATATAGGAATGAGACATCTAGCCGGCATAAAAAACCCCAATCTTAAGTGGGGAAAAGCCATTTAAATCGCTGTACAGGTATAACAGGTTACTGGGCGCGCTTGCCCTTAAATATAAAATTCGCTGACGCAACTCATACGAATACGCTCACCAAGCGACGCACAGTGATGCAGAACAGCAAAAAAAGTGTCAAAATATTTGAATGGGTTGGATTTGACATAAAATCAACTTGCAATACACTTTTTCAATGTATTTTGAACCAAGGAATCCAAATCCGTTTCCCGCGACAACCTACGATTATTCCTTCATGACTAAAAACATGCATTTATACCGAGTGATTAGTCAAAAAATAAATTTTTCATGAATAAAATTTCATTATAAGATTTTATTTAATGTGTCACACATGTTTTCCATGTATTTTTCAACGAGGAATCCAAATCCGTTGTCTCCGGTACGATAATCCAACGTTAACATGACGAAAATTGCCATTTTCCACGAATTTCCACGAAAATCGTACTTTCAGCTGACGTCAAATTTCGCATCACTAATAATTTGCACGTGGCACATGATTTCCATGTATTTTTCAACGAGGAATCCAAATCCGTTGTCTCCGGCACGATATTCCTACGTTCACATAAAGAAAAATGCGTAACCATGCAGCATGGATTTTTTATATATTTATTAACGAAAATATTTCTATTCTATCTTTTGTTGTCGTCTTATTTTATGAATATTTATTGCTATTTAATGTAACTAATCCAGGAAAAGTTAGGTACCTAACTGATGAGGCATTTATTGCAAAATAGGTGATTTTAATAGATTAATTATATGTTACCTTATGCCAGATGTACGATTATTGAGTCAGGTTTATGGACAACATATTATTTCGAGTACTGATTTTATTTGCGTAAACAATCCATTTTACTTGTACAGTTTCGAATGTTAATGACATTTGTGTTATATGCAGATATATATATATATATATATATATATATATATATATATATATATATATATATATATATATATATATATATATATATATACACACATATATATTACTCTTAATTCGTCGGTATGTTACAGTGTTTTCAGTCAACATCACTATTATCTGATTCAGTCTCTTCTTGGGTAGTGTCAACAAGTAATAGTCTTTTCATTTCTTCCGACAATTTTGATCTTTTTGTCTTTGGTAATGTTTTGAGAGATGTTATTAGTGGATCGGAATTTAGAAAAAGTCTCTGATACATATCTTTATTTGTTTCGATTCTGAAAAAATTATTATTTTAATTCTTTATATATGACAATCTTATAATTCTTTATGTATTGATTGATTTTACATTTTTTAAATTACAAAGATTAGTTTGTCACATATAATAATAATAATAATAATAATAATAATCTACATTTGAATACGGAATATTATTGACGATTTTTTACAAAAGCAAATTTTTATCCAAAGAGATTTTAATGTTGATAATTATCTTACTTTACATTTTAACAAAGAAATATTAATAAATACCTAGAGCATTTTTTTGTAAATTTTTCTCTAAATCTCTTAACGTTCTTATTATTACTCTCTAAAGCTTCTTCTGAAAAATATCCGATCGGTAGAATAAGTCTATCCATAATTTTCCAACCATGTAATAAGATAACGTGTACAGAGGGGGGCATGTAGTAGAAGTTATACAATGTAACATACATTTTAGCTGTGTC